AATGAAATATAGCAAGGCTTGCATTGCCTACTAAGAAAGTTAGTAGCCGGTAGTCATCGGGTTAAGGTAGTTAAATTCAATAAGTAAGTCTTCTTTGTGGGTGAATTAGGATATTTTTTGTGATAGGTGGTGATTAGATCTTATACGTGGTGGCATAGTAACTGAATGGGGTTTCCTGTATATACTGGTAGTAACTTTGTTTTATTTTATCCTGTTACATTTACATCTAAACAGGGAAGACAACTGTTGGATTCTATTTCATGTGTGAAAATTATGACATTGGGTTTTAATGAGTTTAAGAATTCAATGAAATTGAGTAGCATCTCTTTCCCGTGTTGCCAAATGCTGAATATATTGTCTACGTATCTTAACCGGATTTCTGGTTTCATGATGTGTATGAATTTGTTTCCAAAAAGTTCCTCTCTAGAACAGATACGTATAGGTCACTAAGTACAGGGGAAAGAGGGATCTTATCACTAATTTATTATTTTTTTAGTAAAACTGGTCTTCTATGTAAAATAAGTGTTGTTTAACCAATATTATGTCGGGTTGATCAGGTGTTCTGTTACAGGATTTTTTATTAGTTTTTCTTTTAGACAGTGTAAAGCTTGTTTAACAGGTACTGAGGTAAATAAAGATTTTATGTCAAAAGATACTAATATATCTTCTTGGTTTAGTTCAAAGTTTTTGATTCTACTTACAAAATCTAGAGTTTTTGAGAGAATAGGGGTGGTTTCAAGTAGAGGATTTAATCTCTTAACTAAGAATTTAGGAAGGTTTTGTAATGGTAAGCCTATGCTAGATACTATAGGTCTGTAAGGAATGTTGTCTTTATGAACGGAGGATAATAATGTGTGAGAATAAGGGAAATTTTTTCTTTAGTAGTGAAGATAGGACAACCTTCAAATAGTTTTTTAATGTTTGGAAGAATTTTAATGGTGAGATCATCTTTGAGTATAGTGTAAGATTCATCATTTAATAAGATGTTAACATCTGCTTTATAATGTGATTTATCTACGACTACAATGCAACCATCTTTGTCAGCTCTTATTATGTATATCTTGTTGTTAGATTTTAATTATTTTAGGGTGTTGGCTTCATTGTTGTTAAGGTTAGGTTTTAATATTTTGTGCTTTTAAGCTGTAAGTCTAGAATGTATGTTAATTCTGATTTTTTCAGCTACATTGAGATTCAAATTTAAAGAGTTGATATGAGATTCTGTGGTAGCAACAATTTGTTCAATAGGTACATTTCTATGTTTAACAGCAAAGTTAATGGTTCCTTGAGATATTTAAAACTGGGAGAAAGATTAACAGGTTGGAAATTTTTCACCTCTTCTCTCTGGTTTTATGTCAGCTTTTTGAGTTTCTTGTTTTGGTTGGCTCTTTTCTTTTCTGCAGTATTATTGACATAAACCAGCTGGCACAGTCGAGTTTGTTCCAATCTTTGGGAGTGGATTTGTTAGCATGTTTTAGGTCTTTTCAGTAGAGTTGTACTTCTAACTTGGAGATGTTTCTTCAAATATCTTTTATGGTGGCTCTTAAAATTCCAAACATAGTTTTTTGCCTCACATTTTCAACTCATCAAGATGTTGTAGAACACTTGATTTAAATAAAACTGGGGATGGCTTTGGATGTTTTACAGTTTAGCAGGAATCATAGATGTTCTAGGTTCTGTCAGTGTTTTATTCTGAGCTTAGTAAACATATTTACTTCTTGGCCTATTGATACCATTGATACTTGAGTAAGAAAGCACATTATGCTAATATAATAATAGATAGGAAGACAATGATTTATAAGCATATAGAAAAGTTTTATTGATGGTGGAACATACAACATGTTTTGATAGAACATTGGTATGTCTTCTTCAGGTATAATTAGCACCAAGCAATCCATGGTTTATATATTGTTGCAAGGACAATAGAGATTAAATGTGATGGAAATTATGTCAGCAGGTGACAGGATGTAGGTAGAGGTCAAGTCTGGTCAAGTGTATGAATGATGAATAGACCTTGCCAAAATACGGCTGATGTTGCTAGGGTCATTTTCATGGTTTAGTGAGAGATCATTTGCTTTGATGATTTTGATAGTTTCCAAACAGTCTTTCTTTTTTAGTTTTGGGTTGGTGTAGGAGAAGAATTTCATCCCAAAATATTTTCTGACCTGTTTCATATTGATGATATGTTAAGGCGGATAACTGGAAATCACCTCTACACATGTGTTTCTATGAGACGTCACGTTTGTCCTAGGCATTTATTTCCACATTCACATGGGATACTGTATATGCCCTGTTTTTGTTCTTTTAATAGGGATTCTTTTGGGTTATGTAGTAGTGCTAATTTTATGTGAGGGTTTGAATACAGTATTTTCATCAGTGCTGAAATTATTAAAAAGTCTAATAATTTTGTTATCAATTTCTGACAGAAAAAGTAATGAAACAAATTTTATTGTGTTTTGTGTTGTTGTATCAAACTTCAAAACAGTGAAAAATATTATGTTAACTCTAACCTTTCACCTATCAACAACACAAACAATTTGTTTCATTCCCTTTTGTGCCAGAAATTGCTAACCAAATTACTAGACATTTTAATAATTTGAGCATTAATGTAAAAACTGTATTCAAACCCTCACATAAAATTAACATCTTACTACCTAACCAGTCTCAATAACAGATGGTGAATCCAAAAATTGCATTATTCTCAATAAGAGAAAAAACCTCATTCAATTATTTTAATTTTCAAATATTAATTTTCATCATGAAAATCAGTGTATTAATTTTTGTTTAGTAAAATTAACAATAAAGTAAGTTTTTAAGACTGGATTGTATCAAAAAACTTTTAGTGGACTATTTTCCTAACTTTAAGGTTTCTTTTATTGCATGCTGTTTTCCTTTATGAGTGGAAAGTAATTTTCATGTTAAGATTAAAACTACTTTTCTTCATCTGAAGATTTTCAAATATTATTTGCATAACCCTAAAACCTTCTAAATAAATATCAAATGTTTCTTTTCCAGAAAAACTTTATATTTCATCTGTTATTTTTTTACCTTAACTCTATATGAGGTCTGTTGATTTGACCGACCTTGTAACCACCATAAAAAAATTAGGAAATAATTATAAATTTCCCCTATTTTCTTTCTGGAATGACTGCAAATTGTAAGAGAAAACCACAGTTATTTATCCTAAGCAGCTTAAAGCTTGTAACAACATACATCTATTTATATTCACATTATATTATTTTATTGCCCTTCGAACCATGCCAAACTATTATTTGCACCAAATAAATTGCAAATCACAGGGTGAATGTGCAGCTCACATTATGATATCAATTTACATAAAGCGCAGACTACTCAGGAGCATGCCTCATATAAAATTATTAATGTTATTTATTTTGTTTTAGCTAAAATAAAAAGTTTTCAATTTTTACATTTTAGTTACTTTTATAATAATAAGTAAAGAATACATATGAAAACAAGAAATGTAGTACTTACCTAGGTCTTTTTTTTTTTTTGTTCTCGTCTGTTGATGAAACTTAACCTTGCGTTTTTATACTAATTACTGCATTAGTTAATTTTTATTCAATTAAATATTGCACCAAAGAACACAGAATAATAACATGCAAAAAGAAAACATTGTTCTATAACTATCACAATATTCTGACAAAAGCCATTAAAAATTCAGCTAAGCTCATCAATGTGGTTCCCATGGGCATAAAGTTTGAACTGGAAGGAAAATATATAATATAATACATCATTTGATAGAAAATAACTTTGGCTTTCTAATGGTTATAAATAATGTAGTCTTAAATGTAAGATAGAACTATTGGCAAATTCTGAAAGAGAGGATGTGACAGGTGGGCATGGGAAGAGGGGCCTGATTTTCTATTTTATTGCTCTGTAACTAAAGATTTAAGGCTATCTAAATTATGCTTTGCCTGAATGATGGAAACATTATAATCAATAATTTACATTAAATTTCATATTTCTCGGAGGGGTGGTAAAAAATTAGAGAAGAGGGAAGACATAGATAACAAACATCACAGTTCTCATACTAGGGGAGATTGAGAATTTTAAAAAATATTTTCTTATAAAATTAAGAACTTAAAACTTAAATAGTACTAAATTTTGATGTATTATCTACATTATGATGATGAATTTATTCATATACGTTGATAATAAAGTTGTTAATTAAATTTTGAATGTAACTGTGAAAGTTTGTGACATGCACTTTAACCTACCCGAGGTGAATTGGTTAATCATGTGGTACTTTCACATGGCAATTTATTGTCATTGATGAAACCTGGTAGAAGTTGGTTGTGGAAACAGCTGTGTGCAAACTGTATGCTGTTTAGTTTGTTATTGTACAAAGTTCAAAGCAAAGTACTTGTGCTTGCCTTGTGTACGGGGTGTTTTTCTGTGTGTATTCAGTACCCAGGGGGTCAAAGCTCACGTGTCAAATGTTAATCCTTTATTTTTCAATAGAAACTTCAGACAAAGCCAGCCTAAAGCTTACCATGCATGTTTCTGTAGCATTAACATACAAGTAGATAAATAAACTTTTACAGTGTTAAAATTACACTAAATAAACCATGTATCATCTCAAACATACAAGTGATTTGTTTCTACTAAGCTGTAAGGAACAACATTTATTCAAAAAAGAATTCCAAAAAGGGTTTAGTGAAACAAATGTTATGAATACCTTATTTCTTGAACAAATTTGTGGCTTTAATATCTTTCTGCATTATTTTCTACAGATAGAAGAGGTGAAATATTAAGTTCATTTTAATTTTAATGTTAAACGAATAGTTTTATAACTGGTTGATGTTAATTCAACTAACATGAATTAAAAAATTATATAATGAATATATTTGAGACGGTCTTTTTTTCAGTGATGTGAAAAGATCAACAAACACAGTAACTGTAAAGTACTTAATTAATTTCAGAAATAAATGATATTTGAGGGTTATAAAAAAAGGTAAACAGATAAATGACTGATAGGGAGTGTTTACTGTTTCATGTTTGAAAATGATAAAAGGAATTTTTTCATAGTTTCATATCTATCTCGGTGTATGCTAATGTTAGTATGATAACTGGTCTAAAACATTTGTCTACATCATTAGGGTAACAAGTACATTATTCAGCTAATTATGAAGAGTTGACATTTTTCTGAGCAGTTACCTGTACTATACTAAATTTGTATCCAAGTATTTACTAATCAGTGTAGATATTAGTCTTGGTGATGGTAACTGTGTTACCTTAACTTGTCGACTGTAAGTATATATTGTAATATATTGGCTGTGCTTATGTAATTTACTAGTGAAGTGTATTGACCAAACATTTTATTTAGCTGTAACTTAAATGTACTAACTGTGCCACTTCTATAGCTGATAACTGTTTTTTCTTTTATTGTGAATTTAATACATAAATTGTTATTTATATATTTGTAACTTGCATATTCTGGTTATGTTGTCTCTGTAAATGTCAGGTTTATTGCTATTTCTGTATATGTGTATGTATGCTGTTTTTGGCTAGAGGAATGTTACGAAGCTTGTACTTGGAGCTTAGAAAAAATGAGAGCCTACTTTTGTATCATCAAAACACTCACACCTGTGATGTCAGATGAAAGTAACAGGTAAAAACATATTTGGTGTAACAATGTTAGTTGAATTATCTAATTTAACAACCTGACAAGTTTTCTTTTTTTCTATTGTTGTAAGTTTTGAATGTTGAGAAAACATCAGTTTTAATTAACTTAAGTTTTTGGAATTTTAGTCATTTTTAATATTTCAATAAAATTATTTTGCCTGTATCTTAAAAGTTGGTTGTATCTATAAGATTTTTCTTTTCTGAAATTAGTAACTATCAGTTGCTTTAAAAGTAATACGTGTGTACCCGTAGATAGTTTTCATAATTGTATTCTGTTTGATTCAGATGTGATATTCTTGGGTAAAGTGATAAGTAAGTATTAAGACTGCAAAAACTGGAGGAAATGTAAGGAGAGTTCATTAAATCAAAATTGACCAACAGAAAATATCCTGACACAATTGTTTCACTGTGGAGCAAAGCAATACATTATTTGGTACAAATGACATCAGTAAGATAACTCTTGATGTCCTAAATGTATCTTCTTAACTTCTACCCAACTTCTTTGTATTCTATAAGAGCAATGGTGAGGCCTTCTAGAAAGTGTATTAGAGCTGGAATTTAGAATTAGTTAAAAGCAAAGTCAATCTATAAGCTAGCACTTCAGTCTGTAAAATATATTTGCCTTTGTCAGGTCTTTTCTAGCGATCCAGTCTTCAACACATGTTAAGAAACTATTCTCATTGTCAAAAGGGGAAGTAACCTATTTTGTATGATTATCTATATACGTGTACAGTATTTCAGACATTGTGGCAAGCTGAATACATGTCCAGTTTGCTAGACATTATGGTAAAAGAATTAATAACTTATTTGGTAAAGTATACCATGTTAACGTAAATATGATGTTATGATATTTGCTTCATTTTATAACTTAAATTTTAAACACATTAACTCTTTCAATATGGAGTCAGTCAATATGACAACCTTGTAACCATTTTGTGCTTGTTATAGTTTTCGTGCTATGACTTTTAAGTCAGTTAGCGAACGTTAATGAAATTTGGCAGATTATCAGTAAACGTTAAAATGCTTTCATACACAAAATATCTAATTTTTTTATTAAGTCTTAAGGTTTGTAAAGCAATGTTCATTTTAAGATTAAAAGTACTTTTATGCATGAGAAAATTTTGAAATTTCATATTCGAAATCTTCATAATATCCGGATAGTTATCAAACATTTCTTAAGAAAAAATTTTATATTTTATCTGTTATTTTCAGTAATTAATCTCTGTACAGGTTCAGTAGATTTAGATAATCCCACAACCACCAGAAAAAATTAGGAAATAAACATAATTATGTCTCTTTCATTCTAGAATGAACACAAATTATAATGCGAAA